CCTAGGTTGATTCCATACTTGGGTATTGTGGATAGTCCTCCCTAGTGCTGAGATTGCAGGTGTGCACCATGATGCCTGGCTTCTTTTTGTTTTGTTGATGATAGCCATTCTCACTCAGGTGAGATGAAATCTCAATGAAGGTTTTTTGGTTTTTTTTTTGTAGTACTGGGTTTGAACTCAGGGCCTACACTTTGAAGGGTTTTTTCAAGATAGGGTGTCTCCAGATATTTGCCTGGGGCTGGCTTCAAACATGATCCTCCTGATCTCTGTCTCCTGAGTAGCTGGGATCACAGATGTGAGCCACTGGTGTTTTGTAGTACTGGGTTTGAACTCAGGGCCTACACTTTGAAGGGTTTTTTCAAGATAGGGTGTCTCCAGATATTTGCCTGGGGCTGGCTTCAAACATGATCCTCCTGATCTCTGTCTCCTGAGTAGCTGGGATCACAGATGTGAGCCACTGGTGTCCACCTCAAGACAGTCTTGATTTTCATTTCCCTGGTGACTAAAGATGTTGGACCTTTTTTCATGTATGAATACCATTTCAAATAGGAAATTCAGAGAACTTTATAAATTATGCAGGGCTTGGAGGCATGGCTTGAGTGGTAGAGCACCTGCCCAGTGAGCCTGAGGCTAAGTTCAAACCCCTGTACTGAAAGAAAAGGAAGGAAGGAAGGAAGGAGGAGAGAGAGAGAGAGAGGGAGAGAGAGAGAGAGAGAGAGAGAGAGAGAGAGAGAGAGAGAGAGAGAGAGAGAGAGAAGACAGAGAGAAAGAGAAAGGAAGAAAAAGAAAGAAACCATGAAGAACTATGTCATGAGAAGACACCCAGTGCTCTGCTCGGTGTGAATTGCTCAATCACATGTTCAAACTTGCCCATGGGTGCTGGGGACATTGAGGCAGAACAGAGCAAGTCTGGCTCTCCAGGAGCCCCAGGCAGATGAATAAACAGAGGGTGAGTGAGCTGTGCCTGGGGCTGTGGAAGGGAGACCAGGGCTGTGCAGCTCACTGTGAGCAAAGAGGAGGAAAGGGAAAGACACATATTACATAGTCACACACCTCACACCATACATGTCATACACCACACACCGCACACCGTATACACCACACATGGTTGCACACCTCACACATGGTCACACACAGTCACACACCTCACCCACGGACACGTCTGACACACAGTCACACATCTCTGCTTAGAACTGAGCAGGGCACAAACTTGCACAGCCTTACCATGACCTGGGACACGCTCTGGTGTCCCACCTGCCCACTTCTCTCTCTCCCCCACTTGCCCACGTCTCTCCCCTGCCCCCTCTGCCCAGCCTCTTGTCTCTGAGCAGAGCTCCTGCTGTCTGTCTACCTGTTCCTGTGTTCTCAGTAGGCTGGCTCTATGTCAGCAGGTCTGCTCTAGTGTCACCTCCTCACAGAGGACTCTCTGGCCTCTGGGTTTTACTACTTAGCCCAAGGCTTGAGCTCCAGCCTTCTGAGTGCTAGGATTATAACAGTGAACCACTATGCCCAGCTCCATAACCACATTTTAGCAGCTGCACCCTATTTCTCACTTACAGATTCCTTTTCAGCAATTGCAACATTTGATAGTTAATATGATCTCATGGTTAAAGATAATACGTGTGCACCGAGAGCTGTCCTACCCGTTTCATATTCAGGTCTAGTGACGTTTTGTGTGTTGAAGCTGGAGCCTCATGTCCCAGAATTCTCTTCTCCAGGTGAATCTGTGTTTGCATTGGTCATAACAGAAAGTTTGCATGAGCTTGGGAAGGGAAAGTGAACCAGTGATCATGGTGTTTGTGCTCTGAAGGTCCCGCAGCATGCCAGGCTCTAGAGCAGCTCCTCACAGAGTCACTAGTCTGCTGGTTGTTGGCATGGGGTGGCACCTGGACCTGCATCTCCTCCAGCCCCCAAATCCCCCCTCTGTTTCTCTGAGGCCAGCGCCCAGCATGTGCACAGAAAGTGCCAGGTTCTGCGGCAGGTCACCCCAGGCCACTGAGGTCGAAGGTGATGACACAGGTTCCAGCTGTCCTTGTGGGTGTCTCCCACTGTCCTCCTTGGTCCAGTGTGACATTGTTCTCACCCATGTCCAGCTTTCCTCCTGAATGTTGGTCTAACTAGCCTGTAGGGGCTGCAACACTAGACAGAGACTTTCCATCCTCTCCCAAGATTGCATAAGGTCCGACTCCTGCCATCAACCCCTACCCCAGTCACTCAGAGGGGCTCCCTGATTAACCTTATTTATTTTTTTTTTTGGCAGCACTGGGGTTTGAACTCAGGCCCTCATGCTTGCTAGGCGGGCGCTCTACCACTTGAGCCCCCCTGCCAGCCCTCCTGATTAACTCTTGCCAGACCACATAACCCCATACATTCTCGTCGGCACCTTGCACTATACAAGGTCTATCTTTTTTGGGTGGGACTTGGGTTTGAACTTAGGGCTTTGTGCAAAAGCAGGTTCTCCACTGCATGAGCTGCACCGCACCTCCAGTCTGTTTTGGAGATGGGGTCTTGCAAACTATTTGCCCTTCGGGCTGGTCACAAACCACAATCGTCTTCTCAGCCTTCCAAGTAGCTAGGATTACATGAAATTCTCTCTTGGAGGTCTTTCCAGACTGATGATGAGAATTCCCCTTTCTAATTTAGAGTTCCATAGTATTCCACTGACCCAGCACACCATACTTTAGCCAGTTCCCCCTGAAGGAAGTTTGGGTAAAATTCTCCTGTGTGTGTTCATGGTACACAAGGACCTCTTTTCTCCGGTGTTCTAACAGGCTCTCAGGAGGCAGTCTGCAGGAAGGAGGCACCTCCACACTTTCTCCATGGGGGAGCTTTTGTCCTATTACTTTCATTCCCATCTACGCCCAAACCTCTTTTCCAGCCCAGGATATCCCGAAGGACTCAGAAAACCAACTGCCCCATCTCTGCCTCTGTCTAACACACCTGTCACCTCCAAGGTGCTTCATCTTGGTGTTTCCAAAACTGAGCTCATGGTAAACGTTTTCCAGCCCACTGCTCCTTCTAGGCTCCAATCATCCCCCCAGTTTTTTTTTTTGTAGTACTCGGGTTTAATCCCAGGGCGTTACACCTTGAGCCGCTCCGCCAGCCCTCCACTTATCAGCCACTCCAGATAGGCTCTCATGAACTATTTTGTCCAGGCTGGCTTGGAACAGTGAGCCTCCTGATCTCTGCCTCCACAGTAGCTAGGATTACAGGCGTGAGTCACCTGTGCCCAGCCCATTTTTCCCCTTTGATCTGTTAAGCTCGTCCAAATACCAAGTGTTCCATCCATGTTCCACAGATGTGACAGGCTTACGTAATCCTTCCTTTTTTTTTTTTTTCCTGAGCTGGGAATTGAACCCAAGGCCTGGCATATGTAAGCATTCTACCACAAAGCCTCCCTCTGCCCTTACTACAGAATTCTAAGCAGCTGTGATAATGTCATTTCCCTAGCTAACAACTGTGAGATACATTCCTAACAACCTGCTGTGCTGAAGGATTTTACACACCTCTACCCTTCCTGTCCTGGCTGTCCACTGCCGAGGAGCCAGCAGCCTGCTGTGGTTGGATGTGGTTTGGGTATGTCCCCCTTGAGTTCCTGTGTAGGAGGCTTGGTCCTCAGTTGGTGGTGTTGGGAGGTGATGGAACCTTTGAGGGTTAGCACAAGGTCACTAGGAGTGCTAGCCTTGGAAGGGGTCTATACTGGTCTGTTGGATGAGTTAGTTCCTGAGCGAGTTATTATAAAAGTTATGAAAGAAAAAGATTGAGCCAGATGCAGTGGTACTCCCCTGTAGTTCCAGTCACTCAAGGGGCTGCGGGAGGAGGATCACTTGAGTCCAGAAGTTTGAGACCGACTGGGGAAACATAGGAAGTCACTGCTTTATTATTTGGTGGTACCACAGTTTGTCCTCAGGGCCTCAGACTTGCTAAGCAGGCAGGCACTCTACCACTTGGGCCACTCTGCCAGCCCTGTTTTGTGATGGGTATTTTTGAGATAGGGTCTCATGAGCTATTTGCCCTGGCTTGCCTCAAACCTCAGTCCTCCTGACCTCTGCCTCCCTAGTAGCTGGGAGACATGGGTGTGCAGCTTTACTTTTTATTTTGTACAAAAGCTAACGATAAGGCTGGCCCACTAGTAAGAGCTCTGCCAGGTCCATTTTTTTGCAGCTCTCATTTATTTATTTGGAGACAGGGTCTTGCTATGTAGCCCATCCTGGCCTCGAACCCCTGCCACTGCTTCCCAAGCACTGGGATTACAGGTGTGCCCCACCAGGCCCAGTCTTTTGTGTGCCTTACTTGAGTTGAGAGAGCCATCAGCTGCTTTTCCATTTTATCGGGCACTCTCTGGTCCCCACCACCCTCCACGCAGTCAGTCGTCTAAGGTACCCTGGAAAGGTGACAGACCTTGGTCCCATCCTCGTTCTGCTACTTGCAGTGTGAGCTAGGTCCTGGATCCCCATTCTTCTTGGAAAGTGGTGATAACAATCTTTCCTCAAGTAGTTAAGTGGCACAAATGGGAACAACCCAAAGGAGGAGTGCGATGCACAATAAACACGACTGCCCTCCTTTCTGCTCTGTGCGTCCGTTAATGACAGCGGGCTCTCTCCCACTCAGCTCTCCATGGGAAAGTCCTTTTCTACAGCATGGGGCACAGTGGGACTCCTTGGAGTCCTGGTCGGTGCACTTTGCAGGGAGACGCTCCTGGGAGGGGGAGGGGGAGGGGGAGGGGGAGGGGGAGGGGCCACCCACCCTCACTCTCTCTTCCCTGGTATTCTTTAGGCGGAGGAATCGGTTCTGGATCCAACATGGCGCCGTCCTGTTCTGTACGGAATTCAAAGATGGCGGCTATCACAGGGGGCGGACATGTTCGCGCTACGTAACGCAGGCGCGGGCCCGCGAAGGCCGGAACGTGACGCAAGGTTGGGGCGGGGCTCCTGTCCGTACTTTAGCGTCGCGCGTCTCGTGACAGGCACTTCCGCTCGGGGCGGCGGCGGTGGCGGAAGTGGGAGCGGGCCCGGAGCCTTGGCCATAAAGCCCGAGGCGGCGACGGCGGCGGCGTTGGAGGCTGGTAGAGCGCAGAGGAGTCCGCTGGTGCCGGTATTTGGACTTCTCTGCCCCGTCCTCTGTTGCGTCTCCTCGGCGAGCCCCGCGCAGCGGCCGCGGTGAGCAGCGGGCCCGCTTGGCCGACGGCCTGCCCATCCCCCGCCGCGGCCCCGGATCGCCGGGCCTGGCGTCCTCCGGCCCGGGCCTCACGGGGCGTCACGGCGTCACTCGGGCCCCGAGCGGTGGGCGGGTCGCGCCCGGGCGGGGAGAGGTCAGGGGTCTCCAGGTGACCTCCGGCGGTGAAGTCGAGGCTGGGCCCGGGGTTCCGAGCTGGCGGCCCGGGTCCTCGGAGCCGAGCCTTGCCGGACCGGGCCCCGCCTGCTGGCCTGCGGTGGGAGAGGTTCCCCGCGGCAACTGAGTCAGGGCGGCCAGCCGCGTCACGTGGCCTGCCCTCCGCGAGCACGGGTGTCCGTGCGCCGTGCAGCCGGCTGGGAGACGCGAGCCGTCGTAAGCGTGTAGCCCAACCTGAGGAGTTTGCAAAGTTCCTGCGGGAGAGGAGAGGAGAGGAGGGGAGAGGTGCTGGCGGGCCGAGGGCAGTGCTGATGGGTTCATGAAGGGGTACCGAAGGGTGATCGCAAAGGTCCGAGCCACAGACCGTCCTGTCTAGTTCTCGGAAGGACCCCTGCCGTGCCGCCTACAGAGGGACGGGACAACAGAGAGGTTAAGTTATTTGCCCAAGGTCACACTGTCGATGCCGTCTAGCCCCGGCACCAGACTCCGCGCTCGCATTGCTTTTAAATGCCCTAGCAGCTTGCCACCTGGTGCCTGTCCATCACCGCCTCCCTCCACCTCCCGTGTTTCTAGTGCTGTCACTTGAGAGCCTCGCTGGTAGTAGGACTTCTACCTCACAGCCATGTTTCGTTTGCAGTTGTGACTTGCAAGGCATGTTACCGTAGTGTAGTGTCACCAGATTAGAAGCTCTGGAACGCTGGCAAGTGGTTAATTGAGATTTTCAGGCTTTTGCCATCTAAATCTTTTCTCCTTTGAGTTAGGTCTGGCAGACTTGCCATGTGAATCTTTCCATTATTATTGATCGTGCCCAGCTCTTTGGTTCTTCCTGTGACAACACTGCATCTTGGGAGTCCAAAAGAACAGGCTCTTGTCTTTTCCTTGTGACTTAAGCAGCTGATTAGCCGCATGACTTCTCATCCATTAATAAAGTATCCTGTTAGTGTGTTTCTCTCTACAAACTTTGGAGGGTTTCTTGAGATCTGAGTCTAAAAACTGGGGAGTTATGAGTCCCTCTTCTGAAGATAGCTGTCCAAGCTAAAGCTCAGTCCTCACAACTCTTTTTTTTTTTTTTTTTCGTGGACTGAGCTTTGCAATTGGGGCTTCTTGCTTGCAAAAACAAGTCTACTATCTCCTGTTGTCTGTTGTTTTTTTACCTTGCTAGCCAGGCTGGTATATTAAGTGAGTAATAAGTGCTGCAGACTTATGTAATGTTTTGAGTGTAGAGAAGAGCAACGATGAGCACCGTTTCACTCATTCATGAAATGTTTTGAGTATCTGCCATGTGAGGATCAGACATTGCTGGACACTGACTCAAGGAGTTTTAAAGTGGGGTGTGATAATGGCCAGGAACACTGATATGGAATGACTTGGGGATAAAACGTGAGGCTTTTGTAAAGGAGTTATTTCCCATTTGTGTAGGTGGAACATAGTAATCCGAATGGCCTGGTGTTCTGGCTAACTTGAAAGCTGTGTTAATTTTAATAATAGCATATATATGGTTTGCTCTTGAAAGTGTGTAGGAGATAGTACTAATTCCTAATTGGTTAGAACTTTTGAAGAATAACCTTCAACACTAAACTTGTTCCTCTTGTTGTGCTAGTGGCATTGTTTGTTCACTCCAGGGAATCCGTGCATGGTTATAACATTGCACTACGGTGTCTTTGAGCAAATGCAAATGGGACATGCTGGATTTTTTTCCTTCAGCTGACAGAAAAGCTTAACATAGTCCCTACCGGACACAGTATCAATGCCATTCTAGATAAGAACCCTCTGCTTCTGATTTTTTTTGCCTGTGATACCCTATCTCCCACAACTTTCTCTAAAGGGGGATCTGGGTTTTAAGTTTGTGGTAGAGCTTCATGAGTAAACAAACAGAAGGGTGGAATGAGATGGAGTCACTCTAAAAATAATTTTATTAGCACAGACAAACCTCCAGGTAATTCTGCACAACTGCTTGGGGTGACTTTTTTTTCTTCTTTTTGTTCCTCTTTTTTCCCCTTAAAGGCCAACTGTGCTCCATTTATCAGAGCACTTAAGCCCCATAATTGAAGAGCATTCCTTAACCTACAGTTTTGAATCTAGTTTTCTGGCTCAACCAAAACTTTGGTCGTTTGGTTAGCTTTTAATATGTTTTCAAAAAGATGTGCACTGCTAACACTTTTGCCCTTACACTTGGCATTAACCTTTCTGTGCAAAGGTGGGGCAAACCTAGACCACTCATGAATGACAGTTATCTCTGGGTTTAACATAAATCCTTTCCCATTTTTTGTATGATAAGAATTTAACTCTATGCCTATTTAATCAGCAAGTATGGCTAAGAGAAATTGTTAAGCTGGGCACCAGTGCCTCATGCCTGTAATCCTAGCAATTTAGGAGGCAGAGATCAGGAGGAAGCCAGTCCAGATAAATAGTTCCACAGACTCTGTCTCCAAAAGCCCATCACAAAAAAAGGACTGGTGGAGTGGCTTAAAGTATAGGCCCTGAGTTTAAACCCCAGTAACACACACACACACACACACACACACACACACGCTTAAAGTATAGGCCCTGAGTTTAAACCCCAGTAACACACACACACACACACACACACACACACACACACACACACACACACACACACGCTTAAAGTATAGGCCCTGAGTTTAAACCCCAGTAACACACACACACACACGCTTAAAGTATAGGCCCTGAGTTTAAACCCCAGTAACACACACACACGCACATACACACACACACACACTCTTAAAGTATAGGCCCTGAGTTTAAACCCCAGTAACACACACACACACACACACACACACACACACACACACGCCAAGACTTGGCTGGGAACTTCAGGCAAGGTTTTCCTCGAGAAATAAGGAATCGGGGGCGTCCTGCTCAGGATGAGTAGTGGCTCCCCTCCCCGCCCCCCCAATTTTTTGGCCGCTGGCTTTCTGCTGATTCTTGCCTCCCTATAGGGTTGCCATTCCATTCTCAGGTATCCATTCCTTTGGGTTATCAAAACACTTATTTGTTAATGTCATCTAATAGGTCTTTGTGTGTCGCTGTCTGCAGTTTCTACAGAAACATTTTGCAGTGTGTTCAGTTATTTGCTCTCACATCTTCCTTGATTTTTTTTTTTTTTTTTTTGGTGGTGGTGGTACTGGGGCCCTCATCCTTGCTAGGCAGGCACTCTACCATTGGAGCCATTCCACCAGCCCCTTTCCTCGTATTTTTTTTTTTCTCATACATACACCATTAAAGACTGGCAAATACTATGCATTAATATTTTTAAAACTTAAAAATTAAAAAAAAATTTTTTTTTGGTGGTACTACGGTGTGAATTCAGGGCCTCATGCTTGTTAGGCAGTCACTCTATCACTTGAGCCATGCCACCAGCCCCCCCTACAACCACTGTGGTGGTTGTGGACAGTGACTTGTAAATCACAGGTGACTTGAAATCAAAACAGGCTTCTCAGGAGCCTTTCTAACTAACTACTTTCAATTTTAGTACTACAGACTGATTCCAAAAACAAATTGAAGACTAGCTACTTGGACAGTGTCTCCTTGGGGGAGGAAGAAGGCTTGGGAATTGGTTCCATTGGTGACATACCTTATTGGTTTATTCATTTGCTTGAAGATACAGTACTTAATGCACAGGCTTTCAGTCCACAGGGGCTCTCTCTGTCTTGGTGACATCATCACTGCTATGGAGATCTGTTGGCTTGATTCTGTTGTCCATTTCCTCGTTGCCTAGGACTGCCTGGATTGGCACGGAATAAATCTGAGGAAGTATACTAAAGTCTGAGAACCTGGGCAGTCCGTACGAACTGGCGGCCTTGCTTCTTATGTGACTGCTGCCAGATAGAGTGAAGGCAGTTGGTTCTCTGTGCTCCTCCAGCCTTTTAAGTAAAGAGGGCTTGCTTCTTACTGAGAGTTTCTCATTTCACTTCAGGGGCCCTTTAAAAATTACTGAATGAGGTAAATGGTTACACCATCTGTTTCCAGTCTCTTGCATGTCAGTGTGATTTTTTTAAAAGTTGATTTCCATTTGATAAACTTTTTAATTTGAATTGTCTTAAGAGTGTGTAATGATAAAGTTACTATGCATTAATCTTTAAAAAATCTAGCATGGGCTTTATAAGAAAAATGGTACCTCTTAAATACAGTCTACCAACAGTTCTTCATGCACTTACAGATCTTGGGACCTTTGAAATAGCTGTGGGTTGGCTCAGCCAACCTTGATAAAAGAGACACTCTTAAATTCTACAACATGTGCTTGCCATTCAGTCCATGGTTAAGAGAGCAGGAACTTTCCTACCGCACATTTGTGTGGTGTGTACAGTTTATGTGTGATCTCACTTTGTACTCACAGCTCTGTGTTCTTGGTGGAGGCTGGTCTTAGGTGGTAAAGCTGGAAAGGGAACCTCAGTGTGCTGATACGCTTAGGGTTCTGTACCCCTGGCTGCCTCTACCATTCTTATTGTACATGGTACTATTAAGGCCTCTGCAGTTGTAACCATGTATCTTTCTACTACATATTATTTAAAATCACACCTCTTTTTGCCTGTTTTAAAATTAAAAAAATAAACTCTGAAGTATAAAGGAGAAGGATTTGCAATTCACTATCTAGAGGAAGACCACAGTGTAAATTGGTTATTTTCTTCCTTTGAATATACTTTCTTTAAAGAAATTGAGCCCACAGTAGTGGAGCTTTTAATTGTGGAGGAGATTGATGTTCTTGGATACTTTGACCTGTACTGCCTCTCTTGTTAGACCTCAATGACACAAAATCAGGGATTTTGCCACTTGCATTGAGCCTGCACCTAGCAGTAAATATTACTAC